AAATATCGTATTACGGGCTCCAAGTACCGCACCTGCTCGTGAAATGCATTCAGGATACTCCACCTCCACTTCGTCATATTGCCATACAGCGCAGCGCACCAAAATTCCTAGCTCCGTATTTTCGCTCATTCTGGCCTGACTTGGCCTGACCTTGAAAACTTGTCTGACTGTGTCTCCATCGTCTCAACCACGGCCTGACCAGTGTCCCTCTTCAGGCCAGGTTTAAGAAAACAGCCATCGCCAGAGTCGTTCCACGTCACCGTCTGAACCCCTCGCACCCCAACTTCAATGTTGTCGGGTCAGGTTCGGTATCAGCGGCCTTCAAAAAAAATAGCCATTCAGGTCGGTACATGTCAGGAGGCCAATCAGCAACATTAAGCTGGGGGGATACGAGGGATTCAAGAATTCATTTCATCCCTGACTTGATGGCTGTTTTTTGAAGAACCCGGCTGTGTGCAAGCGTAGGATAGCAACCCAGATAAGTGTTTCCGTGTTTCTGTGTTGACAGGTTGAGTCTTGCGTTGTTTCATTGCGATTTTCATTAGGATCCGACTGATCAGCTTCCAATTTTGTAGCCCATGAAAATTATCCTGTCCAGAATGAGAACCGACCAACCACTGTCAACTCCATTTCAGCAGATTTACAGTCAAGAAAGTGCAAACCTGTACGCAAATGACGCCAAACAGTTTAAAGGTCTACGGCCTGGAGGTGCAGAAGGTCTGGGAAGTAGGCCCATTGAACTGCAGAGAGAGGGGATGGTGATGATGGTGGTGGTGGTGATTGGTGTCATGGTGGCGGCGGTGATGGTAGTGGTGGTGGAGGCAGTGATGCTGGTGGCCGTGAAGGTGGTGATGGTGATGGCGATGAAGGTGGTGATGGTGGTGTGGTGATGGTGGTCGTGGTGGTGGCGGTGGTAGTGGTGTTGGTGGTGATGTTGGTGATGATGGTGGTGGTGGTGGTGGTGGTGGAGCTGTCTAGAGATCTAGGGATCTAGGGGTGGAGGTCTAGAGAGCGGATGAATGAACATGTAAAGACACAGGAAACCTTCACTTCAAGGCCTACAAAGTACTGCGCCTGCCACGAAATCCACAATTCAAGGTCCACAAAGTGCTACGGCTGCCACGAAACCTGCACCACAAAGACCGCCGCGAAGTGCGCAACTTCAAGGTACAAAAAAAAATCGCCTGTCACGAAACCCTGTATACTGGGGCCCGAGCGAAATCTGCGCTTCAAAACTTCAAGGCCTACAAAGTACTGCGCCTGCCACGAAATCTGTGCATCAAGGTCCACAAAGTGCTGCGCCTGCCACAAAATCGGCACTTCAAACTTCAAAGTCCACATATACTGTGCCTCTTGTGAAATCTGCGTTTCAAGGTCCAGAGAGTACTGCGCATACCACGAAATCTGCGCATCAAGATTCACATTGTGCAGCCACCATCAAGGTGCCAAAACGCAAGCTTCGCTCGAGACTCCCTCCGATGCCTGATACAGTTGATTGAGGGCAGATCTGGCATTGTTTTTTTTTATTGCCACCTAGTCTGAACAACTGTAGATTTGGATTTAGCCTTATTAGGGCTTGGGTTTGTTGTTCTCATAGCGATCAAATAGCCATCATCATCATCAACATCATCATCATCGTCATCGTCGTCGTCATCGTCATCGTCATCGTCCGTGAGAGATGCGATTGATGGATGACCGGAAGACGGCAGTATCCAGTTGATCTTTCGAGTGGTGATGGCAGTGCAGGATATTATTTTCCGTAAACACTGACTCACTACTACTTACTTTGTTGTTGATCCAGAGAACTTTTAGTGGGTCACGTATCATCGTGAATTAAGTTTTGCATTTTTGTACTTGATGCCTGCGATTCTTAGATCTATTTTTTTCAATCACATGCCTTTTTCATACTTGGGTCTTTGGTGAAATCCTGTACTCTCAGTGGTTGACACTCCATGTTTCCCGTAATTTGTTGCCTCTTTCAAGTCCATTTCCACCGCCCTCGGGACCGACCGTGAACCGGCGCTGGACCTCGAGCGCTTCCACCTCTCCGAGGCCCAAGGGAAGACCACCTACCCGCCCGAGAACGTGAACGTGGCCGACTTGGGCGGAGTGATGTGGTGACCGGTGGAGGGGGGGGTGGAGGAGGGGGGGTGGGGTGGTAAGCAAGGTGGTGGGGCACTGGTATCCACTGGTGAAGAGGGGACCGACCTAAGGATCTATACACAGCTTACCTTTCAGGTAGGACTTCGATTTCATCACCCCCCCCTCATTGGGATTGTAACAACCTCTTCAGTATGGGGAGGTTAGGAATCAAATTCCTAGATTATGTTCCTTGAAGTATTCCTGGACATCGAGCGAGCTCTCTTTATCAATACATCCAAACTCGGGGGCCAGACCATCCACGTTAGCCCCTGGTGGTTCCCTCTAGGGCCGTGCATGTTGAGTGAGAGACCTGTCAGACGCATGGGGCGACCGTGATTCGGATCGAACATAAAACCCTTGCCTTGGTGTTGGGCAAATGTCTTTCGAATGGTCCGACTGGACAAACAGACTGGTTTTGGCCTCAGAAAGGTACCCCTGAAGACCTACAAAGTCCAGCCGGACATGTGCTGCGACATGTTCTCTTTCGTTATTTGTTGAGTGTTTTTTGACATAATGTGTAATTTTTTGTACATATAGAGCTGGTTTTGCTTGACATGTCATGTGCAGCCTGTGCTGAGTATATCAATCATGGTGGGACAGAAAGGAGGTGTTTGACAGGTCAAACGACTTTGTAGTGGTCAAAAGACTAGGCATGGAAAGTCGTCGACCGTTTTGTGACCATTTGGGGGCATGGGCAGACGCGCTTCCCTCCACGGCGTGCCCACGCCTGTGGGCATGAAAGTGTTGGACAATCACATTCAATGATTTGTTCTATCTACATTGAGGTGATTACAGAGATGGACCTTCATCTACATTCATGTTTGGACACATACCTTTCAGAGCATTCAGCACTATAGCATGACTTGCATGACTGCAACCAGATTGCTGCCCATACGTGCGTTTTCATCACCGCAACCACACGCGTTCATGACCCGATGGGGTGGTGGCTGTTTCAGGTGGTTCGCACATGTACGCGTCACGAATTCGCAAGCGAAAAAGCGCCCGAAGAACCGCCGTGGGTTTTGAGCCACGAACGAAGACCAGGTACCTCCACAATGAGATCGTCGGCCGTTCCGACTGGGGCTACAAGCGCAAGCCGCTTGGAGAGGAGGATGGGCCCGGTGGCGCACGACGTGAGACCTGTGGGTATAGGGGCTCAGCCCCCACCCAAACATGACACATGCAACTGCCGCTGCCATATATGCCTATACGTGGTTTTGGGGGGTCAATGGGGCGGCATATGTGGCAATCCCATGGAGTGTTTGGGCTTTGTTAAAGAGCCAAAACATGTTTGGCTGCTGAAATGGCAGTTTGGCTGGGTGTGGTTAGACAAATAGACGACCCATGGATCTGATTCTGATGTGTGATTGATGCGGGGATAGCCTTAAACATGGTTTTGTTCGTTGTTTATTCCAGGATCCACAAACGGCTCCAAGTTGGCTCCTAGCCAGAGGATGAACCTTTTTGCGGGGGATTCGTTTTCCATCGGTAGAGAAAGGTCTGCCCTTTGATGTTCGCAGGGAAACGGCTCGGGAGTCAGACATGGCCCTGAACGGGGGGGCGCCACCAAGGAGAGAGAAGCAGAGAGGTCAGAGGTCTATCTGTTTCGGGACGGGTCTGTCTTGGTGCGTCTGTCTCGGTCTCCTCACTTGGTCATCACTTGTGTATCTCTAGGGTCTTTTGTCCCGTTTCCGTGCTTGGAGTGGGTGCCTGAGGGGTCAGTCCATACCTTCTGAGGGGTCAGTCCTTGACGGGAACCCTAGGGTATTGCAATACTGAAGAAGCTGGGCATTTGTTTCCAGGGACCAGGTCAGGGTCGGGCAGTCACAGCGAGGTTCGACATCACTCGGATCCTCCGTGGGGCGCCGCAGGAGGGTGGGACCACCGTTGGGGGTCGTTGGAGCCTTTTTGTGAGCACGATGTTTGGACGAACTACTTCTACGGTCAAACTACATCAACGTTCCAAAAAAAGGACCGTCTTATCCTGTTTGGATTCGACAGGATGTATGTAGATCGATGATATTTCTATAAGATCTATATAGTTTTCCAAGCCTGAAGGTTTATCAATCCGTGTCCAGGGGGGTTATTCATGGAGAGTTTACACCATTGACCGATCAGATGGCACAGGTGTCACAGGTGGCAGGTGCCTGAATTCCGGGGCATGAGAGGAGGGGCTCGCTGTTGTCAGGATGGTGTTTTTGGGCACGACAAGATGGCCAATATTGGCCAATCCACTTCCTGAGAGAACCACCAGAGACTTCTTTACCATCCGATTCTGGATGGAGTCAGGAAAACCATCCCCAGAGCGAGCCCAGAGTTTTGACCATGTTTGACCTGTCGGTGAGGTGTTGATCACCAAGTAAATCAGGGAGATTTGGGTTGGCGGCTGTCCAAGTGTTCAATGTGTGGCCGGAACGTTTGGATTCAAGGGTGAGTCGTTTGTCCTCCAAAACCGCAGGATATGGTTTGGAGGAGCATGTTGCATGTTGTTCTGTTGGTTCACTTCATTAAACCATATTAAACCAACACTAAGCCCCAAGAGACAGTGACCTGCGCAGACAATTAGCTCCTTCGTACTCCATCGCAGCACCAGCCTTTGGACCAGACGATCGAGCCACGTTTTCTTGCCACAAAAAATATTGATTTTAGAGCACCCAGACTATAGCACTACAGACCCTCCGTCCAGGCTATAGCACCCTCCACCTCTAGCACCTGCTCAGCCACCTCCCTCCTGCCAGAACCTCGCCGACGAGGCTACAAGGTGCAGACGCGCGCCACGCAGCCCTTGCTCGATCGGGGCATGAACTTCGGCGTGCGCTTCGCCTTTGACTCAGGCGCCAGTGACTCACCACTCGCTCGCTCCGGTCCGCCGCGCGCGGGGCAGTGGGACGGGGATGGACTGGCATCGTTATGAGGAGAGGGGTGGTTGCAACATGACCTAACCATAGTCGGATACAGCCGAAAAGCAATAACCTACCCTAATTGGTACTATATCCGACATAGATCGGTATAGGGGTGGTTGTTACCATTTGTTACCTATAACTCTGGGACCTGTTCATCCACTGGGCCCAGGTAATAGGATAGACCCAACACAGGGCTGGTTGAAACGTCATGGTCCGATATCCCAGAACACGTCTGGGACTGCCATAGTGGCCGCCCCAAAACGACCCTCGTGAAAAACCAACTGCCCCTGGCCATTTCTCGCCAGTTCTGTGGCAGTCCCAGACGTGTCGTGTTTGGGTATTGTAAGCAAATCTTCCAGTCTCCTGACTCGCATGGATGGTTTTGGGGGAGGCGTGACTACGCATGGCGGGTGGTGTTTGTGGCTGCAAGTCCTACAGTGCTGAATAGAATATTGAGTGCTTCAGTTCCATCAACTATCATCAGCCGAAGTAGGACTGCCCGGCATGTCAGCCGCCCAGCCATGTCGAGGACAATGCACAGGACCCTTCTCTTGCGACGAAGCCTGGCAGAACTATGGCCGCTTGGAAGGTTCTGAATGGGCCGGTGCCCGTGGCTGGTTGAAGGGAATGACATAGATTGAACGGCTAGGCAGCTACAAACCCCATGCAGTTTCGATGAAGTGGCTGGAAGCTTGTAATAATCAATAGTGCACATTCTTTGGAATGACCTGGCGTGAGTGCTGCTTTTGGCCTCTGTTCACTTTGCGAATTCCCAAATAGATACAGTTTCACAGAGTTTTCTTTGATTTTTTTCTCTTTTCTATCCATTTGGGGTTGCCATAGAAATATTGCAGGTGGATTTGACCCCTTGGAGCCTTTCCACAAATCTTCACGTTTGGCATTCCAGGGCGTCACATGATGGGCATGTGTTTTTGTTTGCCAAGCCTTTTACCAGCAAAACACGTGGGCTCATGTTTCCCCCAACATCTTATACCCTACAAGTCCAGACTAACCCAGGTCCAGGTTTTGTGGTCCTGGAAACCTCCTTAGACCAATGACCAGGTCGCCCGGGGGCACCTCCTGGCACGCCAGATGATGTGTTGCCGGCCGCGTCACGTGTGGCAGGCACCTCGAACTGCCAACCCCCCCCCTTCAAGACCTGCTGTGCGCGGGCTGCCTCGCCCCAAACAACCCTCCCGCGGCGAACCGACACGGCGACGCATTCACCGGGGCGAGGCTACTTCGTCGGCTGCAACAAGCTGCAGACCGGCTTCCCCTTCCCCGATTTCAAGGCGTGCGACCTTCGGATCGGCGACCGCAGACCTGGCCGGCACGAAATAGCTCGACTGGCCGGCACGCTGGAGCAAGGCTGGTTTGACCGGCATGACATCCGAACGGCTCATGTTTCATGCGCGACCAACAGATGTTGCAGGCCCCTATATTATAAACACGATCGTAATGACAGGTACCCCAGGTGTTCGGGTGCAACACGTTCCGACGGAGTCTCCGGAGAGCGACCCAAAGGAAAGGCACTGGTATGTTGACATACAGACAGGCTGGTATAGGATGTGGTAGGTATGTACCTGTATAGTATAACATTCCAGAAAAAATCAACAAGGAGCGAACATCGACGCTTTTTGGAGGTTTGTGCAGAACAGGCTCACACTCGTCCGGACAAGGTCCAAATCCGCAAGCTAAGACGTTGTGATCAGTCCACAAGGACAAACCAGGTGCAAACTCCAAAGCTGGTGAGACACCTCTAATCTTGACTCATCATGAAGGTTGAGATTGACTATGACACCCAATCTTCCGCTGAACGCTGAATCTTGCAGCCTGAACTTGCTGAACCTTATGAGGATTCCATCAGGGGTGCGCATCTTCTCTTCAGGTTCTCGGGAGAAAGAGAGGTGAAGGAAGTGGATGCCCCTGCAAGCAGAGGAGCATCCACTTCCTGGGAAGCCAAGTGCACCAGCTGGTGAGTTGAAAGTGGAGAACAACATGAAGAGATCCAGCGGGCCGACCATCCAGTGGGCCGGCACACGCACACCTTCTCCAGAAAAAAAATATCCGATCATGTGGGCTATACTACCAGTCATATTATAGACCCTTAATTGTATGTATACCTGGAGCCAGTCAGTTTGTTGCTTTGCAAATAGCATGTTGGAAGGGATTGGATTCCTAATTGCTAAACAACATCTATATAAATCTAATTACACACATCATGCAATATTGAAGAGATCAGTGCACAAGGAACTACCATCTATCTATGAAAGAAACCACGGAGGTTTACCTCTTCGGGGGTTGCTTGCTGCGCGCAGGTCGCCTATGATGGCGTTTGGCTGCTCGACCCAACTTGTCGTTCGCTGCAGCAGCGAGGATTGAGAGCTCTTTACAGAAGGCGGTGTCAAGGTTCTTCCCAACCAAGAGAGGTAGCCAGTGACCGTAAATAGGACCCATAACCTGGGGTACCTATGGGATAGTCTATAGGGTCTTTCAACCATTGTTGGTACCCAGAGAAAGTGGACAACCTTTGACCGTTCAAATAGGGATTGTGTGTTTCCCACTATGGATAAACAGATGGAAAACGACCAACCTTGAGAGGGAGTCAGAACTGCATAGACATCATGTCCAACGTGCCTGTTCATAGGATTCACTGTCTTTGACGTGATGGCTTGCGACCACCCTTTCATCTCGGTATCTATTTGAGGTCGGGTGCCCCAAAAAGACTCTTAGGGTGAAAGGACGTTATAGTACCAAGGGTTGCAAATCCAATCCCCAATCACTGGGTGCTTCAAAGAAAACTCTTTCCAAACTTTGGGATACACCTCCATCCACCAATCGACGCCCGCCACGCGCCACGGCTCGCCGCACGGGCGAACTTTTTGGTCTTCTTGTGTTCGGGGCCGCCTGGCTTGGCAGCGTGGCTTGGGCCGTGCGTGGCTACTTACTACTTACTATACCTACTATACCTACTACCTACTACTAACTACTACCTGCTGTATAGTTACTACCTACGGTATGCTACCTACTACCGAGGTATAGCTTGCCGGGGAAGTGCCCACAGATGAAGTTCTTCGCCCCTCGACGACGGGGGAGACGTGTCGTCGGTCCCGAAGCGTCCCTCGGTTCGGACGTGGGGCCCGGGGAGGTGGTTGGAGGGTGTCATATCGAAGCGGTTGGGAGGTCGGAGCCCAAGGTTCGGGAGATATATACCAGGACCCTCCGACCATGGTGTCCTGGCTGGACTACCCCACACTACCTAGGATGGCTTCCAGACAGGGCACCCCGATGGTCGGAGGGTCCTGGTACGACCCCCAAATAGCTTGAATAGATCTTCATTGCATTGGAAGCCGTGCCACTATCTATTTAGGGGACCACTTTTAATAAACCCAGACCATTGATGTATGACCTATTGACCAATCAGCCGATGTGGTCGAAGGGATTGGGACACTCATTATATTGACCCCAGGAATTCAACCATGCCAATGTAGATCTTCCAACTGTGTAGCAATTATATATATATATAGATGTTTTTCATCTCTAAAGCCCAGCTTTTCCACGAGTACGGACGCCGTGTGGGCATGGTGCCCAGGTCATCATTCATCTCTAAAGCCCAGCCAAGTTCGGCAGACTTTTTTGCATAGTTGGAAGCTTTACCCAGACGCTCCATGTATGGAATATATGCCTACATTGGGGTGGTTTGGGGGGAGGGTCGAATAGAACCACTCCCTTTGGCAGGTGGTGGGAGCTCTTCTCATCTTCGGGAGCTCCATCCCGGTGTTAGAGAAATCCGTTTGCCCGACCAAAAGAAGTGGATCTCTGTTCCTCTAGTGAACAGAGGTTTGATGTCACCTGGAATTGAGTCAGAATGTTTCCTGGATGGTTGACATCACCAACTTGAGATGAAATGAGATGAATGGATATGGACATCCATCCTGAAACATCGACATGCGAGCTTAAACACTGGCACGTTTCAGCCCGGAGAACCTGTTTGGTATACCCAATCCAATGATTCTGATACCACAGTCTATAGGGATTTGCCTGGCTGCAGGCAATGCTGGCGCCTACATCTCTTCGTAGGAATGCCGATTTGATCTCAACACCAGACACCAGTAGATGCATCCACAGAATATTCGACAGCCCCAATCATCCAAAATCTGTAAATCGGAAGAGTCGACATACCAGGACCCTCCTGTCGGGGTGTCCTGGCTGGACTTCCCCACACTACCTATAGGCTTCCATTGGGCACCCCTTGGAGGGTCCTGGTAGTATATATCAATTTCTTGTTTTGGTATAGTGTCTGAAGGAAACTACAGAGGACCCTGCTTTGGTCATTGTCCATCTACAGATGGGGGAGGCAAGTCTGATCCTCATGTGAGCTCAGTTGCCAAGTTGCGTGTCATTCACCTCCAGCAACAGTGCCATGCACTGCCCGCACAATCATCATAGTTTAGTTGGCCTCCATTGGTTCAGGAACCTCGGCCACTTCCAATCCTATGGTCGTCGCCAAGGAAGGCCTCCACGGCACCAGTTTTGCACACATGTCCAGCACTTTCGAGCACTCCCAGTGATGTCCCCAACCAGTTCTCTTCAGGACATTTATATGACATTTGCCAAGTACTGCCCTGAATGATTGGCCCTGCAGAATCTGAGGCCTGCAAATGTCCATAAATGTCCTACCTAGGCCCTGCAGGCCCACCCCACCCCACCATACCCCTCACCCTGCACCCAGCCTGGACCCCAGCTTCCTCATGTCTCCAGCTTCCTCTCTTCTTTCGAAAGGGACTCATCAGACCGATTGCACACCAGCCTGGACCCCTACACCCCACCATCTCCAGCTTCCTCTCTTCTTTCGAAAGGGACCTCATCAGACCGGTTTGGGACCAGGAAAAGACCAACAAGAGTAGCCTGAGTCGTGGACTGGATTGCATTGAAGATCAGCCTGGAGGTCAGGGTATCTGTCGTCTCGACAAGACGGGACGTGGACGGGACGGAGCGTTTGTGAGCGCACGTGTGCACACGGGTGTTGGCGAATACCGGTGATCGAACTGGGGAAACTGGGGGAACATGGATGAACCGGAAATGCCAATGTTTGGGTGATGTTGAGTGAACATAGTGCATATATAGTGCCATACAAGTTGCCCTACATATTATGTGGATGCTATTTGCTGGCTGACACTCCGAGGTCCTCACATTCAGACCCCCAGCGCCCCCGTTCCCTACGCGTTTGCTCCGAGAAGCGCCCTGGGTTGGACGCACCGTCGACGGAGGGTTCGTTGGACGGGACGTCAAGCCGGGCACCGTCAGACGGGAGGTTGAGCCGAAATATGTGCGGTGTGGGTCAAAACCTGCTCCTCAAAACATGTCAAAACCCGTCTGAAAACCATATATCCCTCTATAGTGGCCCTCAAAACCACGGAAAATAAAGGTGTTCACGTACCAAAAACCATGTTTTTTGCGAGGGTAAACCAGGTTTTTGATGGTTTGTGGTGCCCTATTCCATGTACTTTTGGTGGTCAACCGTCTCCCGGTGCCGTGGTTGGGGGTGCCGATGAGAATGGATGCACCCATCAGCCCGGTGAAACCTGGCGCCTCCCACAGCAGTTTTCGCGGCTCAACAGGTCCTTGAATCCTGAGAAAGGGAGACCTGGATCCCCACGACAACCCAAACAAACCAAGAGAGGTAGTGACCGGGACCGGACCCGAGCTACCTGGGGGTACCCTGGCCTGAGATCGTCGAAGGAACTCGGGTCATGCTTCAACCTCTGTTGGCAGTATAGACCCAAGTCTTCCAACTGACCTTAGGTCGGTTAACCAAGAGAGGTAGCCAGTGACCGTACATAGGACCCGTCACCTGGGGTATAGTCGAACGTTCGGGTCATCCTTCAACCTTTGTTGGAAGGTGGAGCCCTTTGGCTCGGCCCTTCGTTCGTTCGAAACGGTGCTTCGTTCGGGTGCGTGTGCTCGACGAACTTTGAAGCCGGGTGAAGCCCCCTTCGTTTCGACGTTTTTGGACGTTGAGAGCTTCAAGTTGGTGACCGGTCGAGGTGGAGGAATGGTGAAAGACTTATGTAGGTGACCCATCGACGTCGATGAGCGTGTTAAAGGACGATGCACTCCTTGGTCCTTGTTTTTTTAACGCCCAAACACATATAGATACCTGCTATAGAAAGTTAACCAATCTCAAAGTGCCTTGGAAACTGTGTAGACATTAAGTGTTCAGGAGACCGTCTTTTTGAGGTTAAAGTTTGATCAGTCAGACTTGGCGGACTCTTAGGGACTTGTGTGAAGATCATGCGCACTTAAGTTACACATGATACATAGACTTATACTTCAACACACCTGTTGATGCAGATTTACTCGTGACACCTCTAAACTGTAGACAGGAACCATGCCTTAGTATTCTCGGCTGCGGGGTCTCAAGCGGTCTCGAGCTCTTCCGTCTCGCCGTTCATCGCAGGTTTTTGCGATGAACCCTCTGGCACGGCTGATTGCACTTACAATTTTGACGCTTGGTGCAGCGACTTGTGGGGCACGACTCGAGTGATTTGGATGGGGATTCTTGAGATTCGAAACCAAAACGCTCCTGTGACGGTGACGTGGATGGTCGTTCAATGAGTTTTCCCTGGCGCTCTTGGGAAGTGACACATCTGCAGGCGCTTTGGTTCAAGCATGTGGTCACCAGTGATTTGGTTTAGGCGGAATATTTATATAGGTGATTGTAAATCGCTCCTTTACCAGGGCCATTAGGACGCGGTGGTTTTTTGACCACTCTGAATCACCTCTCTTGGGGCCATTAGACACCCCAAACTGCGGGCCCTGCTACCTGGCAAACATGTTTTTTCCTGCAACATGTTTGCCGAACTTGGCTGGATTTTAGAGATAGAAAGGCACATGTTGCACAGTTGGAAGACTTGGGTCTATACTGCCAACAGAGGTTGAAGCATGACCCGGTCACGTTCGACTATCCCAGTTGAGTACCCCAGGTCTTCCGGGTCCTATGGTCCCGGTCACTGGCTACCTCTCTTGGTGACTCTAAGTTTATGGTTGTGTTTTTCCTGCGTCCGTCCACCACATCTACCCGGGCCAGGAAGATGCGGGCGAAATCTCGCTGGATGAGTTGGAAGGGATTCAGGCTTCAGCCGGCCGCGTAGTTGGGGCGCCGGAGAGAGCTGGAACGTTGTCCCAGAGCTGGGGAAGGAACTGAGCGATAGAGAAGAACTCTTCTCGTTGTTTTGGAGAGCTAGCATGATTTCTTATTTGGTGTGTTTATGACACAGTGACAACTATGTTGTTTTATGAACTTGGTTTATCACCAGCACACCATCCTCTATCAGCTCTTTCATGGGTCTAGTGAAAAAAATTGCTCTTTACGATATCAGAGTCTCAAGTAATTTACCTGCCACCGTAATTATGAGAGTTTAGTACGATTTCTTGTCGCAGGACTCCACCGTTGGCAAGTTCGGTAAACTGTTAACGACCTGCTCCAGGCAGAACTACGAATCACAATCAGGTGCGAAAGGTAGATGGCTGTTGGCCAAAATAGAATTAAATTGTTAAACATATATTTAATAATTGATGTTAGTGTTAATTGCTTCTTCATGAGAGAGCCTGGCCGGAGCATGTTTTGCAAATCCAATCCAGCGCAACTACAGTTGAAGCCCTTCAATCCTGCACCACCCGAAGAATCTACCACTGATATATGTGCCTGGAGTCTCAAAGTACCTGTATTTTAGGGGTCATGTCCCATTTTCTGAGGTACTTTGGAGGGTCCAGGTATATAATTACGTAGGTATAGGTCCCGGCTTAGATCAATATACATCATGTGCTTTGTGTGACGTCGCACTACGAGTGAACTCTCGTTGATCCTCGTCGCCGGTTCCAGGGCGATTACGACCACTGGATCAAGTCTGGCAACCGAGAATACGACAGGACCCGCGAAATATACGTCGTGGGGATCGAACACGTCGTGGTTGGAGCATCGGTGCTTTGGTCGTTGGGGCTTGTGGACTTTGCTGCTTTTCATGGAATTTAGCCGGGGGTCCATTCGCTGGAGCCATGCACTTGGTGTTGGAGGAAGAGTTATTATGGTACGGTGGTATTACTTGGTGGTGAATATGTGATCCGATCTCTTAAGACTTGAAATCAGCAGCATCCAGGACGTCCAGGAGCATCCGGCCATCGGATGTCCTGCGTTCGACCATTCGACCTGGTTTCGTACGAACTCACCTCCGTAAGACCATCCTCAGCAGGTACCTGGACCCTATGGCACTATGGGCATGTTATATATATTCTTAGTAGATCTTTGGTGCCAATGATTCATGCAGGCAACTTGATGGTGGCTGTGTGCACATGCGAAACATGTTTCTTGCAAACGAATCACCACTTGCGACCCAGCACCCTCCTTTGCTAGCTGCTACCACCCTCCCACCCCATCCTCACTCGAAAGGCTGCATCCTTCCACCCCACACTGGACCAGTCATGCCAGTCAAGCCGCGGCGTCGGGCCCCGCGGCGTCGCGTTCGCCTCAGTTCGCCTCAGTGAACCCCAGGATCACGGACCACGGCACTGGGATGAGCTTCTGGGACAAGTTGGACGACCCCGAGCGCTCCAAGCAGCGCGTCCAGGCTGCCAAGGATCTCTTCGAGCCGCTCGGGACAGAACGTTCCGAGGGAGGTGGGAGACCGGACGAGAGATCACCGGAAGGGGTCACCGGAATTGACACTGCGGGGGGGGCACCCCACTAAACACCAAGCAGTGGAACAAAGGATGAAGTTCTTGTTCTTTTTTTCCTCAAGCAGCATGTTGACTCGCCTTCACTGCTGTTTGTTTTCCTCATGAGGGGGTTGCAGAAGCAACTTGGTGGCCACATAGCTGTGGAACTTGGGTAGGTCCAGGTCGCCCCCCCCCAAAAAGAAATCCAATGAATGTGTCCTCAAATCCGCTTTGACCCTTTGAGTAGCCCCGCCGTCCGCCCCGGGCACCAGGCGGCTCGCTGTTTGGCGGGTTCGATCCGATGCCAGGCATCCGGCATCGTCCGGTCCGACCAGCCAGTCCATGCCAGTACGATATATCAAAAACAACACCGCCCTATATATCATATGTATAAAAACCCAAGGGCCCAAGGGCTCCTGGCCTTGAGAATATAGCGCTCCAAAGCAAACTTCATACCAGGACCCTCCAAGGTGTCCAATGGACTACCCCACACTACCTATAGGCTTCCATTGGGCACCCCTTGGAGGGTCCTGGTAGAAGCCTTTTGCAAGGATTCCTTTCTTAAGCTGAAACTCTTATTCCCAAGGGTTCCTGCAGGACACAAGATACATGGATTCTGTTTCAACCTTCAATTTGTCAATGTGGAATTCACTGCGGCAGGGTTCTTCCTTTACCTTTTCTTGCATATGAAGTTCATAAGTACCCCAGCCGCGGGCGATTGGTGTCTAAGGAAGCACTATCCCGGCTCCTATGCCGCTTGGCGGAGTCACCGGAAAACCGACGGAGTCGGAAGGAGCAACTCACCAACTGTAGAAATTGTAGAATGAGAAACAAACACAGCGACATGTACCAGGACCCACAAGGACCCACGGTCGGGGTGGTTAATGGATACCCCCGAATCACTTGAGACACCCCTGGCCCCGGGGGCATAGGGCATGTCCTGGTTTTGTTCCATGATCTTCCAGGTTTAATTGTTTTTGTTGCTTGATTCTGCATATTAGAATCCAAATTGTTTGCCATCTATACAATGCTGAAGTGTTCAGCAGCGACAGATCTTTGGCGCCCAAACAGAAGCTGCACCACCAGAATTTGCCGGCCCTCATCAACCTCGCGCCCTTTGGCGCCCAAAACCAGACCCCCTCCGATTCAGGCGCGGCGCGCCACGCCGCGGTGAATGCATCGCCTCGTGCGGGGCCTCCATCTATCTCCGCGATCGGGCCTCAGGCCGGTATTGATGAACCGCCCTGTGACTTTGACTTCTTTGCTTTCTACAAGATGGCTCCTGGAGGGCTCCTTTGGATCCACAACGGAAGGGCTCGGGCGCAAGAGGTAGGCGAGGGCTCGGCACCTGTGGGGCGAGGAAGTGCCACACTTGGGGCGGAACCTAGGACCAGGAGATCCTGTGGCTGAAGAAGGAGGGGCAAGGGAAGATGGGCCTTCCAACGCCGTTGTCGTTGTGCCCGACCCAAAGCGTTGGCGGGTGGAAGAATGGTAGCGGTGTCGGATCGGCCGAGACTACAGACCAGGACCTTCAGCTGCAGTGACCCTTTGATATCACAGGATGAGGTCACTTAGATCTGTACAAGGTCACTAGACTCCAAAGAGGTCACGTACTGAAGGTCCGACTGGACACGACGATGTTGACACGACCTTCGGATGGACTGCTTTGTCCAAGACAGGTAGCCAGGTCTCCCAGGACCGGACCCATCACCTCACCTGGGGTATCCCCGGTCCGCCTGGGATCGAACGAACGAAGGGTCATGCTTCAACCTCTGTTGGAAGTCGATGCAGTCACCCCCACACAGACAGTCACCCTCGCTCGACCCGGTCGCATCGCATCTAACACTGGTGGACCGATCGCATCTTCGGGTGGCATCGCAGCAGAAACAGCTGCCTCGTCTGGCTGTGGACGTCCTCCCGGCTGGCTCAGGTTCAAGGACAATGGGCCTCAGCAGGCCAAGAAGATCAAGGCGGTGTGAAGACCACTCTCATGGGTGGGGCGTCATCGGGCGGAGCATGGGCAGACCAACTGGAAAAACACCAAGGAACAGATAGCGCATATTAGACCCCCGTAACGGTGGAGCTCCGGACGTCGGAATCCACTCGTGGTCGGACCTGAGGCCCGGGTACAGGAACATACCGTGTGTTCTGCTGTAGAAAGCCAGGTGTTTTGATGGTTTGTAGAGTATGTAGAGGGCCAGACCAAACCGGAGGAAGTGACTGGAGCCCCGTAAAGACCTGTGCAATCGCACTTAGACCGCACAGGTCGTGACCGAACCGCAGTCCGCACTGCGGTTCCGCAGGATTGGGAGCGAACGAAGTGAATAGACCTAGAAATCAGGTCAACCTACCGGGGTGTACGGGGCTCTGGGTGTTGAGCCATAGCCACATAGTCCAGGGATATGATGGTTTTGGGATCCAGGTTTTAATCCACACCCATGGGGAGAAAAAGAAGTGTTTTGGGTTGCTGGAAGGTGCAACGCGGAGAAGAAGGAAGTGTGAGTGGGAGGTCCCGATTCCTGGGTTTGCTTCATTTTTATTTTCAAGCCATCACAGTCTGGGGTGATAGTTTGATATATTGTGTGCCTATTAAATATCAATCCACCAGAGTATGCAGTATATATTTCATTCATGGAACACCACCTTTAAAAGGAATGTCAGACTTGACCTGTAGGGGAAGATAAGATGGAATGAGGCACATTGTGGCCGCCTGCCCTTAGGAGCCTCCCTGTGGCACTGCCCAACCTGGGGACAAGTGCTACGAGGAGTGGCGATCCGTAAATGCTAGGAAGCGGGAGTGGCGGAAGAATTTGTTGGGGACCTGCGCTCCATGAAATGCTCCAACAGAATGACCTCATGTTCTTGGTGTTGCAAGTAAAACCATTGAAGGATTCAATCAAATTTGTTGCATGATGTGATTCACCTTGTAAGTTAAACCGTTGAAAGAGTCCAACAAGATGACCTGGTGCTTTCTATTGTTGGAACACGCTGCCATAGCCCAAGTCAACCGAGACGACACATTCTAACCTCATGTGTTGTTTTCTGCAAATACATGCAAATACTCCTTTTGTACAGCTGCACCTTCACAGCAAGCTTTCGACTTGCCGCGGATGCCGCAGGATGCCGCAGGTGTAAGTGTAACTGTTTGGTGTTCTTTCCGTGGATTTGTGTGTCTTCCGCTTCCGCAGAGAAACAGGCCATTCCACATACCTGGATCTTCCAACTGTGCAAAATGTTTGCTTTGTCTTGTTTTAATTCGTAAACCAGCGGCCATCAAAGAACAAGCGCTACTTCGGCCTCGTGCTCGGCGTCTTCAGGTCTTCTCCCAAGCCGATGACCTCCCTGGTGTGACGAAAACCACCGCGGTCTGGGCGAAATCCACTCCTACTCTCCGCCAGGGAGGAGATCTCTCCACCTGAATGGTGGGCGGTGCGTTTTTTCGCCCCGCCACACCCACGTCTTGGCCCCAGGAGATCTCTTGGGCGAAGTCCGATGGGATCTACGCCAACCCGGAGTGGTATCCAGGGTCCCTCGACCTGGTCTGGGCGCGGGTCGTCCAGGGAATGGCAGATCGTTGATTGGTACGATGATCGTTGAGCCCTCGAGAGGACCGGTTACGGAGATGGATGACCTGAGTTGGGAACTTGAGATCCGTCCAAAAGTCTCAAAAGCTTTACATCGGTAGGTCATACATTGAGCATACATTGAGCATTCATTGAAAACCAATGAGGAAAACCCAAGACCGATGCCTTTGTATCATACATAAGTACATACGTACGTACATACTACTACTATATTACTACTACTACTACTACTACTACTACTACTACTACTACTACTACTACTACTACTACTACTACT